GTAGAAGATTATAAATGACTTTTTATGTGATTGCATCCCCTGGTGCTTTGAAATAAAAACACAATGAAGAATATAAAAGCACTTGGTCTTTTATAATCCTGACTTGATGCCATTTACATTTAGATTTAAATAAGTCAGTCTGTTTATACTCTCAAACTTTGCTTCAGGTTTTAAATTGAGAATACATGGAAATGAAAAGCCCTAGTATCTTAGACATATTTTGAAACGTTGTAATGCCTAAATTCAGTTGACTTCTAAGAATAATTGTGATTAAACAGAAGACATAGGAAAATGCAGTTAGTTATGTTTAATGAAACAATTTTATTGAAGTAATTACTAATAATCTAATAATGGTTATCTGATATGTGATCCACATAGAGGGAATTGGGGTCATTAGAGTATACTAATGCCCTGCTGTGCCTTCAGATTTGTGAGTATACAAACACAGCACATTAGAATTAGACACAGACAATCCCTTACTTATGATGACTGAAGTTAGGATTTCATTTTTTTTTTTATTTTTTTTTTCTGGGAGTACAGGAGCAATAAACATCCAACATACACCCAGTTCTGGTGTTTATTTAGTGGTGCTAGGGACCGAACCCAGGGCTTTGTGCATGTTAGGCGAGTTCTCTATCCCTAAGCCACAGTACTTAGTTTGAATTCATCTTTTCATGGGCTGACGAGATGAAGTTCATTGCTCGCTAATGCTGGGCGGTGGCAGTAATTTACAGCTCCTAGTCAGGCATGTAATCATAAGAGAAAGCAGCCAACACTCTCCAATGTAAGCTTTTGCTAAGCTGTGATGTTTGGTGGGTTAGGTGTATTCAATACATTTTTGATTCACCATATTTTCAAGTTGTTAACAATGATTTTATCAGGTCATAACTCCATTGGCAGATGAGGAGCATCTGTAGCGGTACAGTCTGATTCCCACCTTTTATGGGTAATAGAAAATGAAGCAATATATCATAGTGGAAAGCTTTTCTACTCAGAATCCAGACCTTGGTTCTATTCCCAGATGGTCCATGTGACCAACAAAGCATCTATTTCTTCCATCAGACGTGAGAAATTCAGATAGATGTCTTCAGGGATCTTTCCAAAACCAAATTCTAGAACTCTGTGAGCTGTAATTCTACTTCAAATGACAACTGGCCGTAAGCCCACAACATGGGGTGCCTTTTAAGATGGTCAGATCATGGGAGGCTTGCTGAGTCCCTGGCAGCAGCTCCTGGACAGAGTGTGTTAGGCTGAGCTGTGACTGTCCAGTCAAATGGATGAGAAGCTGGGCCAGGTTATGCTTGTCCTCTCCCCTCAGGCTCAATCCACTGTCCAACAGCAATCCTTCAGGCACAGGGAGACGGAGGAGGCCTATTTCGACACATGGATTTTAGTTTTTCAACTCATAAAGGGTACGTGTTAAGATAGAGCCAGGCCTCTCGGTCCCTGGTCAGTCTATGAATCCTATCAAGTGTGCAAGTACACGTGTGTGTGCACATGCACAGGCACATGTGTGTGTGTGTGTGTGTGTGTGTGTGTGTGTGTGTGTGCAGAAGCCAGGGGTCCACCATAAGTATTGTTCCTTAGGTACCATCACCTTCTTATTTTAGACAGCATCTCTCACTGAGACCTAGAGCTCTCCGGTTAAGCTAGGCTGACGGGCCTGGAAGCTCCAGGGACCTGCCTGTCTCCAGTTCCCGGGCTCTGACACTATAAGTGTGTGTAGCACTGTGCGTGCTTGGAATTGAACTTGGGTTCTCATGCTTTTGCAGCAAGCACTTACTGTCTGAGCTATCTCCCTAACCCTCAACCAATTTTAATTCACTGTAAAACTTTGAGTCGATCTCCTCCATGCAGCCAGGAGAGCGAGGGGTGTAGCTCAGCGGTTGAGTGTTTGCCTAGGATTCACTAAACCTTAGGTTCTGCTCCAGTTACCTAAAAGAAACCTCAACCATTAAAACCTTCTGGAAAGTGGAAGCTTCTCAAGTCATTGCCACTTTCTTTTGGAAGATAATTTGTTTAATGAAGCAAATATGATTTGAATTTTGTTAATAGTACAATAGACTTCCTAATGAGTTGGAATATTTGCATATATATGCATATATATATATATATATATATATATATATATATACACACACACATACTTTGGGAATATGACTAAGCCCAAGTAAGAAACTCAAGTTTCATATATAGTATATATCCATATCCGAAGGCAAGTTCATGTGCTAATTTTAGTGTGCCTGCATTTGCAGGAATTCTGGAGTTTTCCACTTGTGACATAATGGTGGTGCTTAAAAAGTCTTGAATTTTTGAGCATTTTGGCTTTCCAGTTTTCAAATTTGGGCTATTCTACCTGAGCTGCCATCAGTCTGATGTGATGTTATTTTCAGAATTAGTTGCTAATTCACCCTTAGGACTCAGAATTCATTGATATTTTCTCATGGGTGAAGGCACCTGCCAGTCAGACTGGGCAGCCATGCCTGGGACAAGCTGTGTGTCTCTGAGCATCTAGCTTAACTTCTTTGTTTCTTTGTATCTTCATTTATAAAATCCAAGAACTGATAACACTTAACACATGGTTGTTATGAAAATTAAATTAATTAATGCATATCAATTAATATATGTATAGGTAGCTGGGACATGGAGAATACTCAGAAAATTTACAGTGTTTATAACAACATATTTTAATTGTGAAATGCTATCTCAGCCTTAGCCCCAAAACACTTAACTTTCTGAGGGAAAAATATTCATCCAAAGCAGTAACAGAAATATACTCAATTAGCTTATACTTTGGATAGAATGAAACCAAAACTTCAGAGCCTTAGTTGGCTTGAGAGTGATGCCAGATTTAGAAATTGAGTTTGAGAAGATGGAATAGAAAGTAACACATTCTAGAATATGCATGGGCTGTGGAGCATCTGATTCACTTCACTACTTCTGTTCCGTTTAGTTTGTTATAGTCAAAGAAACTGTCCATATTTTAAGTGGGTCTTTGGCATCTTGACATTACAAACATTTGCAAACAAACCAGTGTATTCCACAGCGGGCAATGCTGGAGAAATCCCTGTGAAGCTCTTTCAGGATTTGAGTTGCTGGATACATTGGGCAGTTGGCATTAGGTGGAAGCTCATCTGACCAATGGAACAACATCCTTGGGTAAGTCACTGGAACTCAAGCCCCACCCCCACCCCCAGCCAGTGGACAGAGCAGCCAAATCACCCAGAGCTTCTTTACTTGTGCTAATTTCTAGATTGCACCAATAATCAACTCATTCAACAGGGCCCCTCATGACCGTTGAGATAAGTAGTGTGCGTGATGTGAAAGGTGCTTACCTTACAGGGTACTGTGTAAAATAAATGTTTATTACTTAAGGTGAAACTGGTGAATGCCTCAGTGTCTTGGAGGCTGTTCAGGATGCTCACTACTTCTAGCTACAGTTTAGAGATCCGGGTACACCCATAGGACTGTATAACCTTCTTATGTGGCTAGTAGCCCATAGCTGAATGTGGTATCTATATAACCCATCATTTCTGTTGGATATCAGTTTGGTGGTGTATAGCATATGTCCAAATTACCATTCATTTGTCCCTCTATTAATGATTGTACTGTTTTGAAAGGTAATGCCTCACATTTGCCACTAGGTACATATTCACACCCAGGTTTCTGAAGGTCGTTATATTTGTCCATTGAATGATTACCTTTGGGAAAGTCTTCCCCTAAATAAAGAGGAATGCTTTTCCCATGTACCAGTGGCAAAGATGGTGGAGAATTAAGTCTGAATGTATGTTAACTACCTTCAGAACCCAACATCATGAAGCCTAATTTGCTGTCATTAATTTGCTGTGGCTTGGATTGTTTCATGGTACTGCAACTGTGCTGCCCTGTGAATATACTCCTCTCGTGTTCCTAACTTGCAAGTTTGTGGGCGAATTTCATGCATTTGTAATGTTTGCATTTATTCTAAGTACTTGAAATTCTTCAGGAAAGGAAATTTCATCATCATGCCTGAATGTTTTATTGTTATTCTTTATTCTTTCTTTTAAGTTTTTATTTTTATTGAATTTTTGCAAATTTCACGTAATAGATTTTGATCACATTTTGATTCCCTCCCCTATCTTCACTCCCCACCTCCCTTGCTCAATTTCACACACTCTAATATATACATACACATGTATATATATGTGCCTATCCAAATTTGTGTTCCCAAATGTCCTTCAGTGTGGGCCCCTCCATTGGACCCTGATTAACCTACCAAGAGTGACATCTTTGAAAGAGATTGACTCTCTCTGTCCCAGCAACCATCAATTGCCAATAGTTCCTTGGGTAAGATTGGGGTTTCTTACACACTTCCCCAGGTCTATGCTGGGATTTTTGACTGATTTGGGCTTACATGATAGTTGTACGTGCTATCACCATTGCTGTGAGTCCTTTGTTATACTCCATTCTTAGTCATGGATCTGGTGGCACATGCTCTTTTTGAATATTATTATGCATTTTAAATGGGGTTTGGTCAGAAGATTTTTAGAGTGGAGCCAGTGTTAGTCCATTATGAGAACTCTGCGCTTTCTCATTTTTTGAGAGCTGACTGAGAATGCATGAGCCATGCGTCCTGTATTTCCCTTTATTTTTCTTTCAGAAATCGTGCTATCCGTTTAATACTTTATTACAGCCGAACTGCAGTATGTATACATGGCGTGCAAAATGAGCCATTTTGTTTTAAAACAGATTGCAGATGAAAGGAAACCATTCATTTCTTGCTTGCTTGCTGTAATTACTAGAGCACTAATTACTCTAAATCACTGACATGCAGGGTCAGGAAAGATGACAACAGAAACATCAAAGGAACGATGGGCTGGCTTGCTATGACAGATTTTTCATATTCCCAGCCATGGTATTTTTTTATGGCTACTGTTTTCCAGTTTGATGGTGAAGAAAAAAAGGAAATAGAAAAACACACAGTCAAGATTGCTGAATGTTTACTGTGCTTCCATTCGCAGTTTGACGGCGAGAACATGTACATGAGCATGGCAGAGCCGAGCCAGGACTACGTGCCAGCCAGCCAGGTGGGTTAACTAATCTTCGCTGCCTTGTTTCAAATTGTAATTAAACAAATTCAAAGAGCTGCATTGCAAATGAGTGGCACTATCAGTAACTGCCGCAATCAGGAATAATCATAATTTATAAACAAAGCATTTAAGCCTTGTTTCCAGTTAATGAGATGGAGCTGATAAAATACCAGCTTTGGCATTTGTCGAAGGATGCTGCCTTGTTTCCTGTCCAGAATGGGAAGCAGCTGTTCTGCCAGCATGATCTTTCCTAAACAGTTGTTTTACCTTTAGGAAATAAAGTCTTTACAGGTGCAGGTTATTTGTGCCTCTGACTGTGGATGAGTTTATCATTGTAAGCTACACATGCTACCAAGAGCTTCAATTATCAACTGTTGGGGCCATTTCCAACAATAAACTCTGTTCATCACCAGGGTCCCATGGCCAGTGGGCCGGCCCTAGAAGGCTACTTGTAACATCTTCTGAGGAGACGTTGGTAGAAGAGAGAGTAGAGAGTAGTTTTAGGCCCCAGTGCACATGGCTGAAATCTTTCAAGGGCACCTTTGTGTCCATTGCCACTGGACAAGGTGTTTAATTTCAAGATGTTACAACAAAACTACAATAAGGATCTAAATTGTTACATTTACAAAAGTAAATGCGTGGCCATTTATTTTTAGATACTTAAAACCTGGTCCTTTAATCCAGAGAGGGCATTTAAAGCAAAATTATAATTGCCCTAAGGAACCAGTGTAGCATAAAATATATAAGAACACTGTAAGCAAAAATAAATAACAAATAAATGAGAGTGGGGAGCTTTCTATGGACATGAACCTTGTTATTCCCCAGTAGTAAAATCATGGTTGCTTGGAATTTCACATTCCAAGTCACTACGGCGTAAATTCCAACATAATAGTTTTCAATGCCTGTTTATCTGCCCAAATAAGTTTAAGTACTGGGATGGGAAGGGTGCAGAGGAGTTATGTATGAAACTATTTTCCTTCATGGTGTTTGTTAGATGGAGATAGACTCAGTCTAACGTATGTGTTACGGATGCTCTCTGTGAGCAAACCATCTCCTGCTTAACTCAAAACAGGCAGGCCTGCGGCTCCAGGAACTCTGCATTTATTTAGAAGTCATTATGACCACTGCCTTATCTGGCAGGCGGTCTGGACACTCCACTGAATTGCTCACCCATAAAGGTCATGGTGAAGTTCAAGGACCCGATTCTGCCTACTTGCATTCCATTGTGTTGGTCAATGTAAGAGCTCCCTCTGGAAAGCGAGCTCTGCATGTAAAATTCTTCCTTTGCTGAATTCATTCCACTAAGTAGCCTCTAGGACACATAGGTAGTTCTGAATAGGACTGTTTGATTAAAAAATGAAAAATGTTACTATTAATTTTCTTCTAACCATCAATCCCAAAACTGTACTGACAAGTTTAGTATTACTATTAGATTAAAGCAACCCAGTACCATCTTTTTGGTGCCTTTAGGGTTTTGAAGTGTAAGGGCTAATTGAATTTGTTTGAAACAGTAGAAACACAAACTCAATAAATGATTGCTGTTATAAAGCAGCTGCTCCCTCCCAGAGAACCATTATGTCCGTCTTAAGGAGTTCGGGATAAAGGATTGCAAATTCAAAACATATGCATCTTAACGGTTCTGCTCCTTAGGTTTCTAAATTCAACTACAACGGAGAATATTAAGCCCTGACTAAAATCAAACAACCGGCATTGTTTTTCTCAGTATTTTGGTCAGGAGTTGCTAAGAATGTTGCCAAAACAGTAACAATTTATAAAGAAGGTGTAAAAAGGTCCAAATACTTTTGTGCTTTCTAAAGATATGGCAGGTTTATGAGCCAGAGTAAGGCTGTTTTTTTTTTAAATGCAACATGCATGAAAACATTTTTAGAATGAGTTGTTTTAAAACTTAAAGTAATATAAGATAATGCATACCCTGGAGGCAAATAAACTTCACAAATTACTGAAGTCAAATGCCCTGTGTTAAAATTTTACACTTAGCATTCTTTTTGTTTCCTGTACTATAGTGTGTTCAAGAATTCATTACCTGCTATTCTTTTTGGGAATTTTAATCAATTTATCCCTTTAGGCAGCCATAAATAAGATTTTAGTCATCTTGTAGGAAAGAAAATAGTTTGTTCCTTTTTCCTACATAACATCAAACAGCTGCATAGTTTAGTAATCCAACTTGCCTCATAGCATCACTCAACAATTATAATTCCTGTTCAATTTTCAAATCAGTGCCTGCTCTGGGACTTATAGACTACGTTGCTAAGTAGCGACATATGGAACACTACTGTTGCTGTGATGTTGCTGCAAGCGTATAGCATAATTCGAACTTGAAATGATTTTTATAGAAAGCCTGTGCTGGAGCTGCTCCAGAAATGAAAATACACTGTAAAAATTAATGATACTCTTTTAGCCTGTCTCAAAGGACTTCTCGCCCTATCTGCTGAGTGCATTCCCTACCTCTTAAGCTAGTGTATTCAGATCCTTAAAATTTTTTGCATATGGCTTGGTAATAAATAGGCAGCTTTTTAAAGTGAATATACTACCCATAATAAGGCTGACAAATGTGTAATAAAAACCCTAAGGCTGCCACTGCACATTGGTGCCATTCTCAGCATATTGACCTATACTCTGCTGTAACTGTTCTGGTCACTCAGTACTTGAGTGTAAATACCATTTAACTTCTCCTTATCTCAGATACAATTTTCTTACTCGGTGCCATGCAAAATTACTTTGTGTGTTCCCAAACTCTGTCTGAAGGGGCCATGTTTCTGGATAGCTTGTGGCCTTGGAGGATCCTGCCTGTGTAACTTGAGAGACAGTGTGAGGAAACTAATGAAGAGATCCAGAGAAGGGCAGCAGCCCCTGAGAGACTCGCTCCCTCCTTGTCAGGCTTGATTGAGATGACAGCGTTGAACTAAAAAGACACAAAGCTTCACATACACAGGAAGAAAAAGTCTAGAGCCCTAATGTACAACAGGAGGGCTGCTGCTAATGAAATTAAGATTCTTCTCCAGTGAATAGCTGGTGGGTGTTCTGGCCACACACACATGGATAAAGGCACCTCTGCGAAATGATGGATATGTTCATTTGCATCACTGTGTTAAGCATTTTGTCATCTCAGTGTGTTCCACATCATATTGTATATCTTGAATATATACAGCCAAATTCGTTTTAAGAATGACCTAGAACACTATGCCAGAGTGCAAGGCAAGACCACAGGAATCAGGGCTTCCCGCTGAGCTGAGCTCCCACCAGGACATTCCCAACCAGCTGTGGGGTCCTCTCTCTCCCTCATCAGGCTAAACTCTTTTCTCGAGCTCCCAGCATGTCTGCAGCACCTTCCACAGTTTTTAGATGAGGCTTCACTCAAAATATGTCTCTCTGAATTAAATATGTTTTCAGCAGGTGGAGAGTTTTGTTTTCTTCATAGAACTTTCTATGCTGAGTCATCTGATCTAGTCTTGGATACGCCCGGCTTCCCTTTCTGCTATGGGCCGCTCAAGAATATCCGCTTCCACACCACCTCTTTGCCCTCTGCTCTCTGCTGTCCATTCGTGAGGGCAGCGTTATGTCCTGCTCTCTGAACACAGGACATCTCCTCCTTCCATCTCTGCCTCAGTGACAGTTCCCTGTGAAAAGATGGGGATGGGCTAATAACTTTTAGGTAAGGAAAAGTCCTTTAAGGAGGAATAAGAAGGATTTTCTGATATCCAGTAATGGAGTTTAGGTTTCTTGGTTTAACCAGGTGGTTGTTGTTGTTGTTGTTGTTATTTTGTTGTTTTAAATTACTTCCTCCCTGACCTTGGCCTTCAGGGCACCAAATCATCTTTTTGTTCTTTGGTTGTCTGTCCCACCCCCACCTCACCCTGATTTCTACATCTGCCCCCTTCCTCCATCCTTCCAACTTTCTTCCCTTCCTCCTTTCTGTAGACAGTTGTCCTTTCGACTTGAATGAATTTTTCTATCATTGAGCATCACAGTGAACCCTAAACATTAAGCATCCTGATATGAAATCATCCCTTAATTTTCTTCTCAGTTTGGGATCCGTTTTCTCCCAATCTCTCTCCCACCTCCAGTCCACGCTAGAATTCTGTGTCTTACCTGATTTCTCAAATCTCAAGATTTCAAACAAGTGATAAATGTCTGGTTTAGATGACTACCTTCTAGAGTTCACATGTTGCAGCCATCAGGAGGTGATGAACTCTTCCAGAACTAGGGCCAAGTACAAGACCGTGAGGTCACAGGAGACATGCACTTGATGTGGATCCTGGGACTGTGGCCCCCAGCTCTCTGATTCCTGACCCCCAAGGCAGACACTTTGCTGCCATGTGCTTCCTCACTATTAGCATCCAGCAAGCTCCCCAGAACCCTAAATGCAATGGGGCTGTCAGTTAGGAAATGAAATCTCTAAAACTATGAGCCAGAACAAACCCGTCTCTTTCTAAACTGATTGCCTCAGATACTTCATTACGTGAGAGGCTAGCATGATAAAATAGAGTATGTTTTCCTAGAATCTTACAACTAAGCATTTTACACAAGCTTCCTACTGTGCATTGTAGATACATATGAAAGCTGAGGAGCATCCGTCTCTCTGATTCCCCCCAAGGCAGACAGACACTTTGCTGCCATGTGCTTCCTCACTATTAGCATCCAGCAAGCTCCCCAGAACCCTAAATGCAATGGGGCTGTCAGTTAGGAAATGAAATCTCTAAAACTATGAGCCAGAACAAACCCGTCTCTTTCTAAACTGATTGCCTCAGATACTTCATTACGTGAGAGGCTAGCATGATAAAATAGAGTATGTTTTCCTAGAATCTTACAACTAAGCATTTTACACAAGCTTCCTACTGTGCATTGTAGATACATATGAAAGCTGAGGAGCATCCGTGTGTCTGGGGAAGCCCTTACTGTTCTGAAACGTGGGTCGCAAGGTCTTGCCAGTTTCGTAGAGCTGCCAGGGCTGAGGTGAAAGTCCACCCCTGTCTGTG